TGCCCAGGCTGGTCTTGAACCCCTGGACTCAGGCAATCCTCTTGCCTTGGCCTCCCAAAGTGCTGGGATTATAGGCTTGAGCCACTGTACCCGGCCATATATTAAGATTTTATGCTTTTCTGCTGGTATTAAGAAAAAGAGCAAAAATAAAATATATTTTATGAAAGTAGTATTACGTCACCTTTATGCAGTTCCTTATACTATAGTTTCAAAGCAAATTATAGATTTACTAACCATCCTTCATAAAATATATACATAAATATATGAAAGTCCACTTACCAGAGTGGGACAAAAATTAGGTATGAGTGGCAGAATTAGGATTGGAGATAGAGAATTACAACTTTCTCTCCATTCTCCAAAACAGCTTAATAATACAAATATCTTAATAAGACATGTACTTTATCAGATTGATTAAAGATGAGGTCAACAATTATAAAGAGTTCATTTAGACCAAATTGTATAGCTCAGGATTATTTCCAAGTGCAATATTCTTCTTGTTTTTTGAGTTAGAGTCTCGCTCTGTCACCCACGCTGGAGTGCAGCGGCGTGCTGCTCACGGCCACCACAGCATCAACCTGCTGGGCTCAGGTGATCCTTCCACCTCAGTCTTCCAAGTAGCAGGAACTATAGAAACACATCACAAGCCGAGCTCGGTGGCTCAACCTGTAATCCTGTGCCTTTGGGAGCCTGAGGTGAATGGATTGCCTGAGCCCGCGGGTTCGAGACCCGCCTGGGCAACTTGGCAAGACCTCATCTCTACAAGAAATCAAAAATTAGCCGGGCATGGTAGCGCGCACCTGTAGTTCCAGCTACTTGGAAGGCTGAGGCAGAAGGATTGCCGGAGCCCAGCAGGTCGAGGCTGCGGTGACCAGGAGTGGCCACTGCACTCCAGTCTGGGCGACAGAGTGAGACTCCAACTCAAAAAAAAAAAAAAGAAACACATCACCATGCCCAGCTAATTTTTTGATTTCTTGTAGAGATGAGGTCTCATCAGCCTGCAATATTCTTTACAATATATAAACACACATTCAAAATGTTTCTAAGAACCCAGCTAACTGATAGTCACAGATTTTTTTTTTCATTGTTAGGGCAATTTAAAACACAATTTTATCCCTGGAAAACAAGCCTCTATGCTGAGGCAGCTGTATATCTAAAGCAGTATTAGTGATAAAATACTTAAGAGCCTTATTTGGAAATTAAAAAAAAAAGGGAGACTCTATCCAAAATCCATTTTAGAAAATTTTACAAAAAATAGCCAAGTAATGTGTCTGGCCCATCAACACTAGTAAAGTTCTGATGAAAAGATTAATAGCATCACAATCAGAAGAGGTAGCAGATAGAAACTTCTCCCATTCCTACATAGGAATTACTGTACTTTTTTTTTTTTTTTTTCCATTTTTGAATTGGGAATCTCATTCTGTCACCCAGCCTGGAGTACAGTGGCATGATCCTGACTCAGTGCAGCCTCAACCTCCTGAGGTCAGGCAACCCTTCTGCCTCAGCCTCCCAAGTAGCTGTGACTACAGGCATATGCCACCACTCAAGGCTAATTTTTTTTTTGAAAGCAGGATTTATTGAGAGGACAGAAAAGCTCCCATAGTGGAAGGGGATCCGAGGGGGTTGCCAAGGCTAATTTTTAAACTTAGTTTTATTTTTTTGAGTCAGTCTCACTCTGTCACCCAGGCTAGAGTGCAGTGGCACGATCACAGCTACTGCAGCTTTGGCCTGCTGGGCTCAGGCCATCCTTCTGCCTCAGCCTTCCAAGCAGCTGGAACTACAAGTGTGTACCACCACGCCTGGCTAATTTTTTGACTTATTGTAGAGATGAGGTCTCACCAAATTGCCCAGGCTGGTCTTGAACCTCTGGGCTCAGGTAATCCTTTCACCTTGACATCCCAAAGTGCTGGGATTACAGGCGTGAGCCACCGTGCCTGTTTTTTTTTTTTTTTTAATTTTTGTAGAGACAAGATCTTGCCATGGTGCCTAGGTTGGTCTTGAACTCCTAGGCTCAAATGATCCTCCCACCACAGGCTCTCAAAGTGCTAGGATTATAGGTGTGAGCCATTGCATTTGGCCAGATTCTTCCAAAATATGTTTTCTTCTTTTTAATTTCAATACCTAATCCCCACTGGGAAGATGCATATTCTGAGCTTTCCAAACCTAAAATGGCCTAGTGTATGCGATTTGTCCAGCACTTTGCAACAAAATGAACCTGGCCCAATGAACTCTCACACAAATAGTGCTGTGGGAGGTCAGAAACACCTTGCTGAGCAGAGGTGCCACTAGTACAGGCAGACTCCCCAAGAGAGGCCTGCAGGGAGTGAGCAGACACTTACAAAGAAGGACTTAGTCCACATTTTCTGAGAATGGAAAGTGGATTTAGGTATGTCAGTATGCACTCGTTTACATTTAAGTCTTATCTTGCTCATGGTATTTTCTGGCAGAAGAACAAACCATGCACGCTTCTGGGAGACAGTATAAAAAGAAACGCCGTGAGGCTGAGGGGCTGCAAGTTTAACATGTTTGCTCCAAAAGCAGAAATGTTCTTTTTCTGAATAAATATGAAACAGAATATTTCAACAAATGAGTATAATGAGCATTATAAAGCAAATCTAAGGTATAATTTGCTAAGACCTAGCATACACTTGATATAAAATTTGATATGCTAACAGAATTACCTTCTTTAAAAAAAAAATATGAGGGCAACCCCTCAGGTCCCCTCCCACTGTGAGAGCTTTTTTGTCTTCTCAATAAATCCTGCTTTAAAAAAAAAAAAAGAATGCAATAGTGAAAGTACCACATTTTCTAAGACTGTGGCCAAACCATAGACTTATTACAATCTAATCCAGGCCAAATGATTGCTTTTACTTAAATTCCATGTCCCTCTGATTATCATTGAGGGTAATTGCCTCAGTTTTCAATTTGACCTGGTTAATGAGATTGGAGAAATAATGTCAGGCCTAAAGGAACAAATCTGGTTTTCACATGAGCAATAATAAATAAATAAAACTCCTCTTAAAGAATAGCCTCATGGGGGGAAAAAATAGCCTCATGTAATATAATGACTGAGCACCGATAAAACCTGACCTGCTGAGGCATTTTACAGTGAATAGACAAGATGACTTAGACTATTAAACCATGTATTGAAGTTATGACTGTAACACAACCTTAGCAGTTTTGTGTGTGTGAGCGAAGGCTTCAAAAGTTTAGCAATGCAGTCTCTCTACTTTGCTGTTACTGTGAGCAGGGAGAGAGATTTCAAAGATGGCGAGTTAGGATGTCAAAAGGTCACATTCTAGAGGAATATCTACAGGAGTCATCTTTTTAACCTGGTTTTTGCAACTTGATGAAATATTAAATACTAGTTTCTCCGGTTTCTAAATTATTTTTAATCCCAGGGCCAGATCAAATGGAAACAATTATATCTTGTAACTTGTTCATGGGATCTGTGGGAATGCTGACAGTTTTAATTTACATACTAATGCTGGAAGACATTTTGAGAAGCAAAGAAGGACATTCTTTGGTATTATTAATAGAAATGAATAGACTAAGAAAAAACATGAACAGGAAGGTAGTTGAAAGGCTCTAGGCAAAATGGTCTGGTTTATTTTTTCTGTAATAATTTCAAATTATCCATCATTCACTGTGATAAGATACCATCTCAACGCTGGAGTTACACAGTCTTTTATTTTTCTAAAGATGACTATTCCTTGGCTGAATGTCTTCAATAAAAGGTACAACAATCAAAGCCAACAATCTGCTTGTCCCAACTCCAACTCCTGCCTGGGAACTCTTCATCCTACAACTCGGCTTCTTTCCTCACCATCCTCCTAAAATATCTGTCTCACCACTCACAGGATCAAAACAAAACAAATCATTGAAACATCGGAGTTGCTTTGAATGATTAAATTTCCCTAAACAGCCCACTGGAACATTGGTACTTACTTCTGCTTCAGCCCCCGTTTTTTGAGAAATGCAGGATTTCTTTTCATCAAAATTCTACTTCACCAAAATACTGACCCAAGAATGTTAACAACTTAGCTGCCTTAGGGTTATTGCTACTTCCAAGCTCTGAAGAGATCTGTGAGCCTAGACAACTAAATGTAATGAAATGTGAATGGGAAACATAGTTTACAAGTCATTTAACAACTATAATTGTATAGAATTCACTCAATTTCAAATTATTTTTCTGAATGAATGCTAAATTTCTGAAACAAAATATATCACATGGTGCTTAGAAGAGTTAAGTGTGGGTTAGCTCCTCCAATGCAAAACCTTGTCTATATTAAGAAAGGGGATTGCACAACATTCCTGTGTGGTAGGTCCTATTATCGCCATTGAACAGAAGAGGAACATGAGGCTCAAAAAGATGAATAACCTACCAAAAGCCACACAGCTACGACTGTCAGTGTCTGGGCACTGCAAACTTAGCCACTTTAAATGAAGATAATTTTAAGTTGAGTGCTAATTGTTACTTACAAAATGAACACGTTAATGTGACTAATGACAAGATATTTTACCAAGATTAAGGACACCAGATTTATATAGGTCCCTTTCAAATTCAAAATACTCCTAATTTTCTTTGTCTACTATTGTGGGAAACGGAGGAATCTTGCAATGGCTTAAAGGGAATGGGGAGTACTGCTTGATAGGTATTGGATCTCCTCGGGGGTGATGAAAATATTTTGGAAATAATAGTGATGGATACACAACATTGTGAATGAATTTGAATTATATACTTCAAAATGGTGAATTTTATGTTATGTGAATTTTACCTCCATTAAAAAAAACAGGCAAATGAAATAATGATTGACCGTAATGCCTTAGGTGAATAGCACATTATTTGCTTTTTCTTGGTTTGTCACAATTTCAGTGAGTTTTGACAATCATAAACCAATATATCAAAATAACCTATTGAAAATTCCAAATAAGGCATTAGTATAGCTGAGGTCCCCTAATTTGTCCAGTTGGCAAAGCACCTAGTAGAGTTTACAGTATACAAGCTTTAAAAATGTTTATAAATTGTATAAAGTGCAAAGAAAAAGAATACTGAGAAACACATGAAAGAATATAAAATGGCCAGAGCCTAGGACCTAGGCTAATGCACATGCATATGGACATACCTACATATTTGAGCATGCAGAGAGATGTGTAAACACTCAGGAGAGAAACTTGCTTTTCCTCGTAACTCATTTTGTGTTTCTCCCCAAACTGAAGAGTAGTGCGTAGCTTACAGTTGCCACCCTCCAAGTTTGGCAAGAGGTCACTCACAAGGAAGGCCTCTAGCTGCCATGTCCTGTTGCTTCCCTGGTGAAACAACGCAGGAGGCCAAGTTACTTTAGGAGACTCTCAACAGGGCTCCCATTGTTCCAAGCTCAAAATCCAGAGATACAATGGGCCCCATTCACACAGAGCTCACTGGCTGGGGGATGGGCCCTCAGTGCAGTCAACTTTTTGTTGAGACATTGAATTTTCAAAAGCACTGACTGGCACAAATAATGTTACCTAAAAAAACAAAACAAAACCCCCCCAAAAAACAGTACAGAAAGACGACACCACAGATACTAAACTGGGAGTCAGGAAACCCGAGTTTACCCCCAGCTTTGTAAAATGACTTTAAGCAAGTCACTTGCTCTTTCTGAGCCTCAGTTTCCTTGTGTGTAAAAGGGAAATGGTTTTTCCAATCATTGAGAACTCTGAAATCCTATGAACACATATGAAGTCTATTGATTTTGCTTCACTGTTCACACCAGGGAGGGGGGATAAGTTGTAAGCCAAAAAGAATCATTAGTTCACATCTTTTCATTCACTATCAGCACTTAAAAACAAACAGTCTTAATAAAAACAGACAGGAAGAGTCAACTGTTTTCTCTCTTAAATAGACAAATCATAATGAATAAAGTCCAGTGAGTCCCTCTGTCCCAACAAGTCCAGGATCAATCAAGTAGCCCTACATAAAGCATCAACACAAGCCACAAGTGTATATTTTTATGTCATCTTTTCTTAGGTTATCAATGCATTTTGAGAATCTCTTCATTTCTTTGCAACAACTGAAAATCCCCAGAAGAAAAACGCCATTTACAGTAAGAAAGAAGTCAGTGTCTCAAGCTTCCATATCATGTCATTTTTTGACTTTTTCAAACTCAAAACTTGCCAGAGCAAGGACTTTGTCTCCAGAGCCTAAGAAGAAAGACACATAACAAACAGAAAGATTATTTCAAGTGCATTTACCATTCCAAGCAAAGAAGGAAAAATCAATCCCATGTTGAAGTAGAAAACAGAATTTGCCTTCACTGTCAGTGCATTACCACCTCTACTTTCCCACTGCCATCCCTATTTTGTTCCCTCTTCACTAATATCCAGCTACAAAAGACAGCCTATGGGTTACTAATCCTTACTCCAGCTCTAGGTTTGAAATAGTGTAGGTAAAATTTTAGTTTCCTGTTATAGTTACATCTAGCTGACAAGTATTTTAAACATATTAGACTGGGTTAATTAATTAACTAATTAATTCATTACTTTCTTTGAGTCAGAGTCTCACTGTTGCCCAGCCTAGAATGCAGTGGCACAGTCACGGCCACCACAACCTTTACCCGCTGGGCTCAGGTGATCCTTCTGCCTCAGCCATCCAAGTAGCTTGAGCCACAAGTATGTGTCACCAAGCCCAGCTAATTTTTTAATTTACTGTAGAAACAAGGTCTCGCCAAGTTGCCCAGGCTGGTCTCGAACCCTTAGGCTCAGGCAATCCTCTTGCCTCCACCTCCCAAAGTGTGGAATTACAGATGTGAGCCACTGAGCCAGGCCTTAATTTATTTGGAATTATAAAGTATAGAGAAATAAAACCAATACAATGGATTTATTATAAAAAGAATTTTGTGGCTGGGTGTTGTGGCTCAAGTCTATAATACCAGCACTTTGGGAGGCCAGGGGTTCGAGACCAGTCTGGGCAATTTGGTGAGACCTCGTCTCTACAATAACTCAAAAAAAAAAAAAAAAAAAAAAAAAAAATATATATATATATATATTAACTGGATGCTGTAGTGCACACATGCAGTTCCAGCTACTTGGAAGGCTGAGGCGGAAGGATCGCCTGAGCCTAGCAGGTCGAGGCTACGGTGGCCGTAAGCATGCCACTGCACTCCAGCCTGGGTGACAGAGTGAGACTCCAACTCAAAAAGAATTTTGGTTTCACTTCTAAACTCAAGAAAAAGTCGTCATGTTATTTCAAAGACACTCTCCATCAATTTCAAGCAGGAATATATGTCTAGCTTTCAGAAATATGAGGGCACTCACCAAGGTCTGTAGAGACTTTCTCAAACTGGCTGAGTATAGCACCTGCATTTGCTGACAAGAAGGCTTCATCATCTGCAGTCAACTAAACAAAATGAAACAAAGCCCAGTTGAATGAGTAAATGCAACAGATAGTTTTAGAAGCCACAGTTAAGAATATCATAGGACCACAAATTAGACCAAGAAGATCAAGACCACAAACAGATCAAGAAGTTCTGCACCAAATATTTCATACTTTTTATTTATGCCTAATATATTGAGTTAAATACTGGTACCTTCTCTCCAAGTTTTCTGAGAGCTGTCAGTATCTCCACTTTCTGTTGAGTATATAGGTCTCTTTCCAGCTTTCCTACCATCAGGTCTCTATCCATCTAAAATGGGTGAATGTAAACATGATGTTTAAATGGAAAATATTCTGTGCATAAAATGTAGTTTTTCAGACCTACTTAAAAAAACCCTTTTAGGTAATTAATATTATAAATTACTATAGAAATAATCCAAGGCAAACGCAATCCATGGCAAACGCAATAGAAATGCTATACTGCAGCTCTAATAAACTGTAATGAAAGTTGGTAGGTCAATAGTTTCCTCTAAAGAGTGATTCTCTAAGAGCTGTTGTCCTCTAAGAATACTTCATTAAACTGAAGTGTTGTCTACAGACTTGAATGAGATAACTGGTCTCAGATTCCTGAAATTTAGGTTAGATATCACCTCTATCAGCAAAAAAACTAATAGCATGTACTATATATCAGTATATATTGCATGTACTATATATCAGTATACTATATATCAGTACTATCTGAAGTGCTTTCACACATTATCACTTCATTTAATCCTCCTTACAGTCATAAGAGGTAGAGACCATCATTATCACCTTTTTACAGACAAGGAAACTGAGGCACAAAGGGGTTGAATAAAATAACTTGCCCAAGGTTACATACCTCAGTAGTAGAGCAGGGATTCAAATCCAGTCAGTCTGACATAAGTCCATGCTGTGGACTATGCTACTGAATTACCCGTAGTTGCAAATAACTTGCTAACCCTTAATTACATTCAGTCTACAAACAGACTTCTTGAAGTATCAGGTTTATAAAGATGCTTAAAATTCTTAGATGAGATGCATAAAAGGCAGTGCTATTAATGGATTCTCAATGGGATTTCAAGTTAGGGCTCCAGAATTAAATGTTAAGGGTGGAGTCCAAGCAGAAGTGGTCAGTGGTAATTTAAACTGCCATATACTGTACAAACCTCTACATTCACTAGTAACCATAACTGCTTAAAGTACTGATTTTGTGAGAAAATTGTGGGTTATGGCTCTAAAATCAACTGGCCAATTTTTAAACCATGGAGTATCATAATGAGCAAATTCGTAGACTAGGAAAAGAAACACACACAGTTATTGGATCAATTTAAAGAAACTTTACCTCTGCTAATCTTGTCCGAAGCTGACCTGGTTGTTTCTTTGCAAACAATCTGATGACCTCTGGGGTTTTAAAGGCCTGGCTGATAGCTGCCTGAATAGCCTAGAAACAAAAGAAGGCAAATACTAACCAAAATAGTCCAGTGTGTCAGATATTGCAATAACCAATTAACGAGTCTTTAATCTTTGTTCATCAAACACTGTTAAAATTTCAGTTTTCATTTGCTATTTCTATGCATGTTACTAGAGCCAAATACATAACTAAATGAAGATCTGAAAGGATATGTTGTTTTATGCATAAGCAGAATTACTCATAGTTGCAAATAACTTGTTAACCCTTAATTAACATTCAAGTCTACAAACCGACTTCTGGAAGAATCAGGTTTACAAAGATGCTTTAAAAAGTTACTTCCAAGCCGGGCTCGGTGGCTCAGCCTGTAATCCCGCGCCTTTGGGAGGCTGAGGTGAGTGGATTGCCTGGGCCCATGGGTTCAAGACCCGCCTGAGCAACTTGGTGAGACCTCATCTCTACAGTAAATCAAAAATCAGCTGGGTGCACCTGTAATTCTGGCTACTCGGAAGGCTGAGGTGGAAGGATCGCCCGAGCCCAGTGGGTCGAGCGACAGAGTGAAACTCCAGCTCAAAAAAAAAAAAAAGTTACTTCTGGCCCTGGTCTGAAGCTCGCCCTTCTCTGCAGACACCCACGTCATGTGTGTTACTTGGTTAGCGGCGGCGGCCCAGTCCATGTCTGCCTTCTTGGTGCACCCACTGGCCAGCAGCGAGCCTGTGAGTCTGGGCTCCCTGCGGAGCAAGTTGTTGCTCATCGAGCATGTGACATTCCTCTGAGGCACCATGGTCCGGGACTACACACAGATGAAGGAGCTACAGCAGCGCCTCGGGCCCCGGCGTCTGGTCGTGCTTGGATTTGCGTACAACCAGTTTGGGCATCAGGAGAACACCAAGAATGAAGAGATTCTGAATTCCCTCAAGTATGTGCAGCCCGGCTGTGGGTTTGAGTCCAACTTCACACTGTTCGAGAAGTGTGAGTGAATGGTGCAGGTGCGCATCTGCTCTTCACCTTCCTGTGGGAGGCACTGCCAACGTCCTGTGGATGATGCCAATGCACTCATGACCCCACACTCATCTCCTGGTCTCCTGTGTGCCACAACAATGTTGCCTGGAACTTTGAGAAGTTCCTGGTAGGCCCTGACAGTGTACCCCTGCACAGGTACAGTTCCCGCTTTCCAACCGTCGACATCGAACTTGATATCAAGGTTCTGCTGTCCCAGGGGCCCAGATGTATCTATGGCGCCCCTTCTACCGTGGCTCCCACCAGTGGCAGCGCTATTCTCTGTGGGGATTTCATCCATGATGAAATTTGCATGGAGAAATACCTGACTTCTAGGAAAATCCCCCGAGATGGGTGCTGGACCTGCCTCCCAGCTTCACATCTGCCAGACCAAGGTGAGTTTCCCCACTGACAAAGTGTCAAGTGTCAGCAAAAAGGAAAAAAAAAAAAAAGTTACATCTAAAAGGGTGCATTTTTCTATCAAAAATATTCTTATTTTGTACAGACCCTAGGCACAAAAAAAGAGAAAGAAATATACTTATTTGTTATTTTTTATTTAGAGATGTAGTTTTGTACTCCTGGGCTCAAAGTGATCCTCTGGCCTCAGCCTCCAGAGTGGCTGGGATTCCAATCACATGGCAACATACTGGCTTGACATATACCGAATAAAAAAAAGGATTCCAATCACATGGCAACATACTGGCTTGACATATACCAAATAAAGAAAAAAGAACCAAACTCTGTCATCAACATAAGTAAATTATGCTTACCAGCTGCATTCCACTTAGTTCATCTACCAAAGTCATGTTTCCAGACATAATTTTCTTCAGTGAATCATTAAATTCACTTAGTTGCTCTAGTGTTTCCTTTTTGGTTTCTTCATATTCATCTGTATCAAGTTCTTCTCTGGAGTACAGTGAACATCACAATATAGAAAAATATATTCAAATTAAAAAAGCAACCTTAGTACTTGGATACCAGGAAAAGGCTGGCGGGAAATATCAAAATGCTAATGATGAATGTGTTCACGCACTAAAAACATGGGCATTTTCCTGCATTATTTTGGTAACTGAAAAAAATTTTAAACAACATGAGACACACTTAATGAACTGTATAACTTCTTTTTAAGCAGTCAATGGTGTAACCTTGGGCAAGACACTGAACACAGCCAAGCCTCAGTTTCTTTCTCTATAAAGCTTCAGATAGTGAAAATGCCTACATAACAGGGTTAGTATGAGCACTGAGTGAGATATGAAAAGTGTTTGGCAGGTACTTAATAAACAGCTGTTATCATCATCATTAATGGCAGGAAAATGTTGGTTACCTTGTAATAAAACAGCAATGCAGTATTTGTCATCTGAGTAAGAGGTTACTTTTATTCACCAAACAAGTCTTTTTTTTTTTTTTTTTTAATTGGAGTCTCACTCTGTTGCCCAGGCTGGAGTGCAGTGGCACGCTCCCAGCCACCGCAGCCTCAACCTGCTGGGCTCAGGCGATCCTTCCGCCTCAGCCTTCCAAGTAGTTGGAACTACAGGCGTGCACTACCATGCCCACCTAATTTTTTGATTTATTGTAGAGACAAGGTCTCACCATGTTGTCCAGGCTGGTTTTGAACCCACAGGCTAAGACAATCTTCTTGCCTCGGCCTCCCAAAGTGCTGGGATTATAGGCTTGAGCCACCATGCCCAGCTACAAACAAGCCATTTATTAAACACTACAAATAGCAACAGCTACCACTTATTGAGTATCTACTCTAGGTCAAACATTATGTTGACCCCTTCACTTGTAATATTCACAATAATCTTGCAAGGTTGTTAAAACTGCAATGAAGTTAGTTTCTTTCATCCATGCCATCTCTGGCAAATCACCCTCTCTTTTCTCCCTTCTTTCTCCAATAACATTTGTTTGAAAACTTCAAACAAGCAAACAAACACACACAAAAAACTGCAATGAAAACTCTTGGTCCTTTGTGCAAGTAAGGCTGAAACCACACACCAGAAGTTCAAGTAGTACCCTCTCAGCCTGATACGAGGCAAAGCTGTTTTAACTCCCAAAGACAAGGTAGATACTATTTCCACTTCAAGGAGGTTAACTATTTTGCCTAAGTTCATGTGCACTTAGTAGTTAATTAAGACTTTCACATCCCAGCCTTTATAACACCAAAGCCTGCAATGAGTTTACTTCTCTAACAGACAAAGCACTGTAACAAAAACTACAAGGGAAACCAAAATCACACACGAGCCTGTAATCTAGCTGCTGAAAAAAAGCCGTTTTATAGTGTAACAACATATACTATTACCTGCATTCCTCCAGATCTTGTAATTGCTGCATTAGTCTATCCAACTGTTCTTCTAAATTCTGCTTTAATTTGCTTGTCTCTGTCTTTCCTCTGGAAGCCATTTTAATCTCTATGTGGAACGATAAACCCACATACCATATATTATATTTGGTTACTTGAAGAGATTCAACATAACAGTGCAATGTAAAATAGGCTTTACACTTTCTTAGTTACGAATGTGGGAAAGATAGTTAGCAAAGAAAATTTCAATTTAGATACAAAAGTTTGAACTCATATAGTAATAACACCCCACAAAAATGCTTGAGTCTTCTTAATTTACTTGACAAATTAATTACAAGTCTTCACTATGGTCTATCTTACTAACAAATTTGATAGATGAAAATACAGATTTATAAAGAAACAAATGTGACTTTGCTTTATAAAAAGATTCATTATAGCATTTTTTCTCATTTTTATAAGTACATTTCAGGGCTAACACTCCCAATATTATCTTGTTGGTCATATGCACATTTACCTAATGATTTGTGAGAACATTTTTTTTTTTTTTTTTTTTTGAGTTGGACTCACTCTGTTGCCCAGGCTGGAGTACAGTGTCATGATCATGGCCACCACAGCCTCGACCTGCTGGACTCAGGCAATACTTCCACCTCAGCCTTCCAAGTAGCTGGGACTACCGGCATGACCACACCCAGCTAATTTTTTTATTTATAGGAGAGATGAGGTCTCACCAAGCTGACCAGGTTGGTCTCAAACCTATAGGCTCAGGTAATCCTCTCACCTTGGCCTCCCAAAGTGCTGGGATTAAAGGCATGAGCCACTGCACCCAGCCCAATGAACATCTTTTGATAAGAATTTCTTCTTTAGAATTATGCCCATTTTTCTTTTTTTTTTGAGTCAGAGTCTCACTCTGTTGCCCAGGCTACAGTGCAGTGGCACACTCACAGCCACTGCAGCCTCAACTTGTTGGGCTCAGGTGGTCCTTCCGCCTCAGCCTTCCAAGTCGCTGGAACTATAGGCACGTGCCACCATACCCAACTAATTTTTTATTTATTGTAGAGATGAGGTCTCACCAAGTTGCCTAGGCTGATCTTGAACCGGCAGGCTCAGGCAATCCTCACACCTCAGCCTCCCAAATTGCTGGGATTATAGGCATGAACCACTGCACCCAGCCTATGCCCATTTTTCTACTGAATTATCTTTCTTTTACTGATCTATATAACAGGAATATGAAGCCATTATCATTATTTTTCAAATATTACCTTGTCTCCTGAGTTTAAATTTTACTCATGGTGTTATGGTAAATTATTGCTTTTTAATGAACAAATATCTTTTCTCCTTTAAATCTGCTTCATTTTGTGTTCTATGAAGGCAAGCCTCAAGATTTATAAAAATATTTACCTTTGCCAGGTGCAGTGGCTCACATCTATAATCCTAGCACTTTGGAAGGCCAAGGTGAGAGGACTGCCTGAGTCCAGGGGTTCGAGACCAGCCTGGGCAACTTGGCAAGACCTCATCTCTACAATAAAAAAAAAAAAAATAATTAAGCCGGGCTCGGTGGCTCAGCCTGTAATCCCGCGCCTTGGAAGGCTGAGGTGAGTGAATTGCCTGAGCCCACGGGTTTGAGACCCGCCTGGGCAATTTGGCGAGACCTCATCTCTACAAATCAAAAAATTATCGAGGCATGGTAGCGCGCGCCTGTACTTCCAGCTACTTGGAAGGCTGAGGCAGAAGGATCGCCGGAGCCCAGCACGTTGAG